TTTCACAACAACAAATGAATCAACAACAACATTTATCACAGCAGCAACAAATTACTTCTCAACAACAATTAGTCCAACAACAACAAGTGCAATTGACACCTCAACAACAACAACAAATAGTTTTGCAGCAACAACAGCAACAAATTTCCACTCAACAACAACAAATTGGAACACCACAGCATCAGTTAAACCAACAACAAACTCCACCACAGCAACTTACATCTGAACAACGACAACTTATACTATTGCAACAACAACAACAACAACAAAAAATTCAACAAATTTCTCAACAATTGCAACAATCTGCACCTCAAGGTTCGCAACAATTTGTTATAAGGGATGGTCAATTACAGCAACAACCTCAAAATCAACAATTAATGGGTCCTAATCAACAAGGTTTTATTGTTCAAAGAGATTCTCAATGGCAACAGCAACAATATCATTTACAACTGCAAAGGCAACAGCAACAACAAATTGGCCCACAAAGACCAAGTGGACAGTGGGCTCAACAACCACCACAACCACCAAGACAATTAATCCAATTGGATGCTCAAACTCATCAACAGTTACAACAAATGGATCCACAACAGAGAGCTCAATTTATTCAAAAGATTCAGAAACAAAGAAATTTATTACTACAGAGGCAAATGCAAAATCGTCAAGCCCAACAAGGTGCGCACATTGCCGTCATAAGAAGTCCAGGAAAGCCAGTTCAACCTGGTGGTTTGCAATGGATTCAGCAACCGCGTCCTCAAATGATAGGACCTCAAATTGCTCAAACTCCTGGTCAAAAACCGGTTCATTCAGGAGTTCAACCACCTGCTCTGACGCCGATTAATTCTTCTAATCAAGTAATCGTGCAAGCCGGTCAAAATGTGCAAGGTCCACAAACTGGTCAACCTGGTCAGACTTTTCAGCAAGGTCAACCTTTAACACCTCAACATATAGCACAATTACACATGCAAAAACAGCAACAAATGGCAAGGCTGCAACAATTGCAGCATCTACAGCAGCAGCAACAACAACAACAACAGGGTGCACAACAGGAACCTTCTTTGACTTCGTTATCGAATAACGCCCAAATACCACCGGACCAACAATTGGTTGTTAATGCAAAAACGAAAACTGCCCTGGCGAACATGTTGACGAACAGATTGCAAGGTAGTGCTGCTGAAGGTAGTGCAGCTGGTCAACTCAGATTAATGACAGCTCAACACAGACCACCGCCACCGCCATCTCAGGATCCACAACTCTTAGCGGCATATCAGCGAAGAACCGTTGGAAACATCACAAATGGAGCGCCGCCCGGCGCACCAATAAAGATGCAATATGCTCCGGTGATGCCTCAAGCGAAAGCTCAGTTCTATGGTCACAATCCAAATCTGAAACGTATGGTCTTTCAATTTTTCAAAAAAAAAAATCTCTATTAAGACTATATGATTCATATATAATTTATATTTCCGCTTGAAGAAATTCTTGAATAAATTTCAATTTGCAATATAATTACTTAATATATTTAGTATTCCAAATATATAAATATCTAAGCATTTTCTTCATACAATCAAATAATTTATAGTTTATTGAAAATCTTTCAAGCGTAAATATATATATTTTTCTTTCATTCATTTCATTCATTTATTATATCCATTTACAATGGCAATGAAACAAAGCCAAAAATAGAAGGATGTAATAAATGAGCAATCTCTCTTCATCTTTCTCTTTCTTTTGAAAATAATCAATTATTATTTGTTTCCAGTGCCACCAGATCTATTTTTGCTAGGTTGTATCTTTGTTATCGTCGAATATGACGTTCAACGTCCAAACGATGTTTCCGTTTGGAAACAAGTGATCGAGAGACACGGAGGAGAGGTAGAACCACAATATTGTACTCGAGCCACTCACGTACTTGCAATCACCCAAAAACATCCAACGGTGGTGCAAGCGCTACGCGAAGGGAAACGTTGTGTCAGTGCTCATTGGCTATCGGATGTTGTCACTAAACAACAAGTACTACCGCCTTGGCACGCGCTCCATTTTCCAACGCCATTCAGCTTGACAGAACTTCCATGCGCCAAACAAATTGTATCATTGTCTGGATTCGAAGGAGAGGAACGTGCGAAAGTGAAGTATATGCTAGAAGCATTGGGTGCTAAAGTTACCAATTACTTTACCAGGCATAATACTCTCCTCGTTTGCAGAAGGTATAGATTAATTGATCTCAATTTTTAGATTTTAATTCTATATTATTAATTAGTATTGTAAAATATTCGCGGATAAGATATGAATTTAACAGACAAGAATAATAAGACATTTTGCATTTATTGTCTTATAATTAATTTTGTTTCTTCAGATATATGCAATGTAGATTGCAAAAATTGTTATAAAAGATATATTCATTGGAAAGATAGATTTTACTTTTTCATTTATTATTTATAATCTATAATATTTTTATATGATACAATGATTAATAACATTTACATTATTCAACTAATACTTCAAAATATCTATCTAAAAACGTTAAATAAACTAATATATGTATAATATATGTATATTTTTCTTATATACTTTTGTTCTCCAAAAAAAAAATAGAATAAATAAACTTTGTTTTATGATATGCATTAATCAATCACTACTATCAATAATTTTTAATGTTTTTAAAAAAAAACATTTCAGACCAGATGGTCAAAAATATAAGAAAGCTCGAGAATGGCAAACTGGAGTAGTGAATGCTCAATGGTTGACGGATTTATTATGCGGCCAAATGAACGCACTTCATCAAACTGAAAATCCGAAATATCAACAGTACAGCTTGAGCAATCCTTTTAGATTGGATTATTCACTAGTGCCTCATTTAATGGGTATCGTAAATTTGATTAATTATATTTTTTTTTCAACAAAAAAATCATAACATTCCATCAGCCTCTCTAAATTTAATATTCTGGATGGCTTTAAAATAGTATTTCTTTCAGCTGCATGGAAGATGCCAATAAACATTACTCAGGAATCGTACGATAAAGTAAAACAGGTTGGTCAGGGTCCAAATTCGATAAGAAAGTATAAGAAGCCGCGATTAGATGGTCCATTATTGAATAAAGATCCACATTTGTTGGGTTTGGATGAACCAATAGTTGTTAGTAATCCCGATCCTCCACCTCCGGATAAACAACCGAGAATATTATTCTCCGGTATAAATCCTAGGAAACATGCAAAGGTAATATATAAAAGTATTTAATGTTATAAATATTTTATTATTATTATTATTAATATTTTATTAATATGTACAATATTGTTGATATTTGTTTACAGAGAATTCGAGAATTAGGTGGTGCATTAGCAGCTAGTTGGCGAGACGCGACTCATCTTGTGATGTCAGCACCAATAAGAACTGTAAAATTGTTATGTTGCTTATCACGTTGTAAATATATTGTCACGTTACAGTGGTTACTTGATTGTTCTGCGAGGAACACATTTTTAGATGAAAATGGATATATTCTTGGGGATCCAGAATTTGAAAAAAATTTTAATTGTAATATTGAAAAAGCTCTAGCAAGTCCTAATAGGGGAACAGTACTTAAGGTAATATTAAGTCAGTATTTTGCAAAAATTGAAAATTCATGTTAAAGAATATTAACAATATTCATTTTTCATTTGAAAATTTTTTTGTCGAATAGGGTAAAATATTTTACGTTACACCAAGTGTAATACCATCTCCGTCGGCAATCGCAGAAATAATTGAAAGTGCGGGTGGAACGATGGAAAAAGCACGAAGATCTTTGGTACAGATCCAAGAAATGAATAGTAATAAATTAACTTATATCATCGTCACTCATGAAAACGATCTTCATCTTCTTACCGATGTTTTACGTGCGAATATAAGTAAGTGATTTTTCACAATTTATTTTCCCTAATTTTTTAGGATAATGTTAAAGAAAATGTATTAGGGAAACGTAAACAAATTTCCTATTCCTGTTTGTTTATGTTTTTTATTTTTTTTTTTCTTGAATAATTGTAGGTGTGTTCAGTGCAGAAATCGTGTTAGGAGCAGTTGCACGACAATACTTCCAAACTGAACAAATCTAAACATAGCACTGTTTTCAATGTGCTGTATATTATAATTCCTGATGAGAGCTTGCTAAATTCTTAGTGAGCTATTTTGGAGATGAAAATTTTTGCTTACCTTCTTCAATGGGACAATAAAGAACATAATTTTATCATACAGGAGGAACTATTTTCACTGAAAACATTCCAAAACCTCTCCTTTCATGCTTCGTTTCTGAAAATAGTATATTTTATAGCATTTCAATATAGATCATTTGATAGATTTGTTTTTTAACGTAAAAATATATTGTTCATTTATAGTTAAGAAGTATTATTTTAATTAGCATTTTGTAGTTATTTTTTCCACGATAGTCTTTATCTCTCTTTACGCGCGTATGCTTCCCATCTTTTTGTCGCATATACAATATACACATATCATTCTAGTTTGTATCGTTGTACACTTATTTTCTTCTATTCTATATATGTTTCGCTTATTACTGTCTTTATACGATAAGAAATGAGTTATGTGTAGTAAGAGTGTATGATTGAAAATAAATAGAAATATGTATTATTGTGTTCTAATTTTGTTACTAATCGCGTTATGTTTTTTCTCAGTTTCATTAAGATTGTTTAGAAAGAATCTTTGTGCATTTAATTATATAATTTATTCATATTCGACATGGTTATTTTATTGTACAAATATCTTACAATAAATTGTAAGAAACTTTGTTATAAACATTTATTATAAAGGGATAATTTAAGTTTGATTGTAGAATAAGTGGCATACAATTCTCTACAAATTTATAAAAATATGTACAATAATATATAAAACTATGATTATAAAAAGAAAGAAGAGAGAATACTCTTTTATACAAAAGAAAATGACAATGACATTTGCAAATATTAGAATGTAAGATCAAAACTATATCAATAATAATAAATATTATTTGCTATTAAGTATAAAAAAAATTAAATTACAATATATTATCTATTTTTACAGGTAAATCGTATTTTGTATACCATTGATGTCATAAATATGAAAATATGAAAAGTACAGTTAATGTAAGCAGTCCAAAAATATTGCATACTGCTTTTATGCTTTACGTTTTACAATCACAGTCATTAAATTATCATCAATCGACTCGTTATTGATTTGGTATCATTCTACAGATTATAAACAAATTATTTATTAAATTTTAACTATGTAAAATAACTTATATGCAAGAATTGATCGATTAACACATTTACAGTTACAGATCATGAAAAATTGTTCTACGAAGAGATCATATTTTCTACCCATTCTAAGTGTTGTGCAACGTCCACATAAACTATATACTGGTTTAAGTCACAAGACATAGTGGTTCTATTCAACAAGGATCTCGAAACGATTCCTCGCAAATAGAAGCGATCCGTTTTAGCATCATACATCACAAAACCACTTCCGCTATCACCGTTGCAAGGGCCACTTCCGTTTCTCAAGCCTGCACAAAACGTTCTGTTCGAAGTGAACAAGACGAAATCCGAGTTGCTCCAGTGACAATCCTCCTGTAATTTATTAATGGTTATTCACCTCTCCAGTTGAAGTTCTAGGTAAATATTTGTCATTGTCAAGAAATTATTGGAAAATTTGAAAGTTAACATTTTAAAAAATTTGTCAAATCTGTATAAAAGTTGATGAAATGAAAATGAAGTTTGAAATGTTTAAAAATATTCCAAATGAATGAAAGTACTCGGATAATTGATCAGATTTTGTTGACTTATATTACTCTCAGGTATGAAAAATTTCTTTATAATCTTTACTATTATATAAATATTCGTATAAAGATTTATATAATAAGTACAATGACTTATCAAATAAGTTTGATGTTTAAAAAAAAAAAATAATCATACCTGACGTACAATGGGAGCTTTGATCTGTCGAGGCTCTTGTAGATGGCGGTTCCCATCTTGATCACGTCCCCATCCGACCACGTATCCAGACTTCCCCACAACACTGGCGAGAAGCGCAGGTCCTGTCCAGAGACAGATTGGTCTGATTACATCATTATACTCCACTTCCTCTCTCAGAGTTAACACAGCCAAATCCGCGTCAGCATTGCCCCCTTTGTCATAATTAGGATGGAGCTGGTACACTGCTATTTCACGATTTACAGAACCCTTCTCTGACCATTCTCGAAGACGAAAGCGTCCCAAGGACACTAGCAGTGTATTGGCAGGTAAATTACTATTGTCTGTTAGCAAACAATGTGCAGCTGAACAAAAAAAAAAAATTAACCAAAAAATGTAGCAAAAATTGTAATATTGTAACTTTTGGACTAATTAAGTGGCACAAAAGAACTAATCTTTTGATGCGCAACAATTTCTTTCAAAAGTGATATATCGTGAAACAAACGATATTTTTTGACTTTTTGTTTTTTTTTTTTTTCTTTTATTCCCTTTCTATTTCATAAATATCTCATTTTTTAACTCGTATCTTAATTTTTATGTTCCTTTAATATTTAATATTTCTTAAATTTTAATTTCAGCTGTACGTATTTTAAAAAAGAAGGATTCTTTAAGCATTTGATTCACATACCTGTAATAATGTGCTTATTAGTGACCAATGTTCCCGCGCATTGGAACTCGAAATTCTTTTTGACGACAAAAATTGCAACAAGCCAAGGCCACTGACCCCGAGATGCATTCACTCCTCCAGCCACTAGAAGATTGAACTTGTTTGTGCTGCTTCTACCGCATTCCACGTTATTTTGATTGTTGATAATTGGCACGGGTCTGCCAGGTGATGGAGTGACGATCGGTTGATATACCATTGGTGGAGTATTTCGAATGGGTGGAGTGTTTGGCAAGGGTTGAGGAAAATTAATGGGACGTATATTCGAATCGAAATTGAGTCCTAACGAAGGTGGGTACAGCGTGTGATTTAGGACGATGGACGTGACTATCTGTCCACTTGCTGGAATAAATAATTAAATGTTAATATAAATTATATCATACAAAATTGTTATAAATTTTTATGAAAATTACTATTAAATTATTTGCTTTTTCAAATATTTTTTGCATAACAATTGATCACACAAATATTAATAAATTATAAGATTGTAAACTTTTCTTTTAAAATTTTACATATAATTAAATTAGACTTAAAACTTATGAAAAATTTCCCTTATATTTAATAGCTATGCAATAGAATTTATTGATTAAATAATCTAGTTACAAAAATTGAATTTTCTTACTAAAAAGTTTACATCAATAATTGTATATCTCTTCAAAAAAATCTATTGAAATTTTTCACATACCGCGTGGACCTGAACAGATACGTTCGTTGTTAAACCATAAACCATTTAAAATGGGTATTGGCCAAGGAAGTGGAAAATGGATTTTATAATATAAAGGCTTGCCCTGCATAACTTCTCTAATCGATTGCTCCTTTGGCTGTGCCAATTCTAATCTACCAACATATTTCTGAAACACAAGATCATATTGCATCACTGTACTTTAACTCTCATATCAATAAGAATGTCCTTAAATCACAGTATTTTTTCTAAGTTTAAATTCTTATTATCAAGAATATATGAACTTATGATCAACGTTTATTGTCGATTACTTACTGTTGGCAATGCAACGGCAATGCTCAATTTCACACTAAGTGTCAAAGGGATTCCTCTCGGTGGCGATTGTATCTCAACAAAACCAATGATTTCGTCTGCGATAGGATCTGAAATATACCGGAAATACTCGGGACACGGTGACTGGCCAGCTGCTTCTGCGATCAATTGAAGAATACGCAGCAATAGTGCAACCTTGACAATTACACTCACCATCCTGGAACTCTATGACATACTATAACATTTATTATTACTTAATTTTAATATATTATTATTTAAAATTTATTATTTCTTTTAAGATTCTTTTGATAATCCATCAATTAAATTTTGTTTATTTGATAACATTTATTGCTCGATTAACTGTCATTTGGAACAGAAATTTGATACTCAGATTTATTTCTTTGTCAATTGTTAGAATTAAATCACGCTCATTCGTGATTTAGAGAAAAAAATCGGATATTTTAATTTTTGATTGGAAAAGTTAGATTTGGAGAATCAAGGATTAAGGAAATGGAAATTGATGAAGAAAATATAGAAGTTGTGGAAATGGTAGGATTAAAAATAAATCCTAGTTAAGTGTGTATTAGAAATGGTGATAAAAGTTCAGACTACCTGTCATGCAGGTAGGGACTGATCGCACAAATATATATGAAGGTACCTAGGATATACATCAATAGATAATTCCAAATGTCTTTCAGTATATAGTTTCTTCATTGTTTTGTTTCAGGAAAGAAACCTTAAAATCCAATTTATGGAATACAAAACTCGAAAAAATAAGGAAATTAATTTCTGTGATTCCGGATTTATTCTAAGTGACGAGAATCAACAATAAAATTTATATGTTTTTCTAATAAGCGATACTATTTATATACTATTATCGCAGTAAAAGAAAAATTAATAGATATATTTTTTTTGTGATAATTAAAATTATCATTTTATGCATTCCTAATGCAAGTATAAAACTAACGAAGTATATTTGAATTAATATTACTTAATGACACTAATTTAATTCATCATTTGAATTGCAAAAGAAGTTCTTCAAAACACTTATCAATAAATTTGAATTGCAAAGAAAAATTCTATCAAATATTAACTCGATATATTTGGATTGCTGAAAGTATTTTTCAGAAATTAAATTAAATTATTAAAAGAAATTCCTCTGAATATAAATTAATCACTACATTAATATATAAAACTCTATTACATTATCCATAATATTATCTTTCGCAATTTCACAAATTATACTGAATTCATCAAAAAAAAAAAAGAAGAAAATATCTCCTCCAGATATTCAATTACAAATCCTTAAAAAGAAGAAAGAAGAAAATACCTCAAGTCTTCAACAATATTGCAATATTTCAAAAAAAAACTTCACTCTTAAATGATTATTCGCACTTCATCATAGAAAATGATTTTATATCAAAATTATCAACGAATATTCAACAAGTTTTTAACAGAGATATTAATGCAACTTGTCAGTCACGTTCGTCTCGTCACGTACTGTCTCGGCTGAGGATGAGTATCGTCTCTTCTGTGGATCCTGGAAAGTGGTGGGGCATTCCCGACAATTAACTGTTTCATTCGTATGAAGAAATCTTGAAAGAGAATGACTGCACGGAAGAAATAATATTTTCTCACGAATTTGATTCAATGAATCACATCTGTCATCGATATCTTATATCAAGAATACATTTATGATTGTTGTTGACGATATTGACTAAATAAATTTTAAATGAATAAAATTACATATATACAGAGTGTTAATGGAATATCTTTGGAAGATCGAAACGAAAACAAACAGAAAAATTAATACAACAAAAAAATCAATTTATTATTTATTTATTTGTCGAGTTATGAACAATTGAAGTTTATATTATATAAAATAAGACGAATATAGAGAAAATGATATAAATGGTATGGCAATATAATGGAAATAGATATCTCTATTTACTTTTTCAATAGATTAAAACCTTGGTCAAATAATATAATAGAACACCCGTTATTTCTTCTATCTTCATTTCTAAGTTCTAATACTTTTCTATTACTTTTCTCCATTTTTTCCAATGATTATATCAGACTTATTGTTTAATTTCTTTTAATCAGAATTCATATTGGAAGAAAAATTAAAAAGTGAAAGAAAAAATGACAAATATTGTTGTATTGTTGTATCTTATTATATTTTTAGAATCAAAAGTTAGATTAGTTTAAGGATACAATAATAACAGTTAAGTTAGCTTAATTTAACTTAGATTTTCAAATATTCTTTTGGAAATGCTTATAATTATAATTAGAAATAAATAAATCTTTTGTTATTATTTTTTGATCTTATCTCTAAATTAACTTAATTCTAAAACAACACAATAGAATAGGACATTTGTTATTTTTCTCCCATCTCTTCACTATTTCGCTACAGTATGAGTCACACTAACTACACAACACTATTTCTCCCACTATTCTCAATGTAAGAATTTGTACGGCAACCTTGTTTTTAATCCTCCAGTACATGTCATTGTTTTATTTTAGAACATATATTATTTAATTGTTTGAATATTTTAATAAATTTAATTAATTTTAATTAATTAATTTAATCTTTATCGTCATATATCGTCGTATATTATGGTTTTCAATTCACAAACGTAATCGAATGAAAATAATATAAAGGTATATAGTAGTTAAAGGTAATTTTAACATTCAATATAAATTGCGATGAATCGACTTGCGTCAATTGATCTTAGTATTTTACGTCATTTCACTATTGTGTATTATGTTTCATTTGTTTTTGCAATCATGCAAAAGTATTAATAATTAGTAATAGAATTATTAATAATAATATTATTAAATAATCTTATTAAAATAGTTAGATTTTTTTAATAATTTTAACAATTGAAATTTTTATATTATAGATTTATTTCTATTGAAATTTTTTTGTTCTCTTTTGAATATATTTTCGTTTCTTCATGAATATATGAATGGTTTCCATATATTGTATTTGCACTCGAAATTTACTTTACTCTTCATTTCCAAATGATTGCATTCTACATATTCTTTTTCTGTGATCGAAAAAAATTGATAAATGAAATATTGTCTTTTTATTTTTAGGAATTTATATTTTATAAAGATATTTTAAAAAATATCATTATTTAAAAGATATTATTTATTAAAATATTATTTAATGGAAAATGCAATTTGATCATTTACAATCATAGTTTGGCAACTTTTACAAGTCTTTTTAACTTTAATATTTATATAAATCAATATACACAAAAAATAAAAAATAATTTTCAAAAGCATTCTTTTATTTTAACGAAATATAATTATCTCAAATACAATATCTAATTTAATTTCATCAATTAATTGCATCAATTAAACATTTACAATAACAAGATACAAAATTAGAGTTGAATATGGAATTATAATATTAAAATAATATTAAAAAGAAAATATCAATGCACGTAATTAATGATTGCACAAAAAAACTAATAATAACTAATATTTCAACAGTATATATCACTACTCCAAAATTTTCATTTATGAATTTATTTAATAGAATATTATTTAGTATTACAAAAGATTACATATATATTTGATTTACATATATGTATTATTTGTTGAGACACAATTGACACAGTTAACATATAATTCTAATTGTTAATATCTAATATTATTGACTATGTACAATATAATCATCTTTGGAAATTATTGAAACAATTCTTTCCATATCATATAATTTACAAAATAAACTAAACATTATAAATTTTTTTACAATATTAGCCAATCAATGACAAAAAACATTAAGAATTAATAATTCTACTAATTATATGTATGATTTAACAACTCTTATGTTTATAAAAATTATATATGAATAACAATATTCATAACAATTTATGTGATATTTCACAAGAAATAAATAAAATCATTATTATTAAGTCATAAAAATTCCTTTTGTTATCATACTGAATACATCGGATATTCTTAAAGTTATATGGAAATTAAAGACTAAATCACTAAGTTAAATAAGGAAAACATTAACAATGTTTCTGTACTTTCCGCATAATTTCTTCTACACTTTTCATTGGTATATTAAATTAAATTAAATTAAAATATGTAAATTTATTATTACATAAAAAAAAATATAACTTTTTTATTAAGAGATAGAACTATAAATTTTGAGATTTAAGAAAAATATTTCTTTTTTGTTAATATGAATTCTTATTATTGTTTGTTGAACAATATTTTAAGAAATTTGGTAATAAAAATTAATAGTAATAATTTAATTATTAAAATATTAAATTTATACAAGATCAGAAAGTGGAGATTTTTTCTAATAATTTAAATAATTTTTTAATTTTCAATAGGTAATGATTTTTTTGTGTTATAAAAAATATTATTTATATTATATTATTCATATATAAAATTTATATAAAAATTAGAATAAAAATACCAAAAATTCTTCGTACTCGAAACACGTATACGCATACGTATTCTTTCAATAAGTAAGATTTCCTTCTAATATTTTAACATGCAATTCTTATCATATTATAATCGATTTATTTTTAAATTCTTTACACGCTAGACTTAGTTCATTGGTAAAACAGTATAAAACAACAATTGCATTATATTATCTGAAAAAAATGCAACATTTTAATACTCGTATATAATTGACATTTGTTATTTCTTGAAAAAAATTATTCAGTATCAATTACTGAAGTTCATTATACTTTACTAAATTCCGTAAAAAATATTATACATAATTTTATTTTATTATTTTATTATAATTGAAAAATTTATTTAACTCTCAAAATAATAAAGAAATAATAGCATTTATTATAATGACGTTAAAATTAAGAAAATTTTTTGCATAATTTATAATCAAATATATGATTCATAAATATATTATAAATAATTCATATATACAATAAAATATATTTATATATATATATAAACACAAATAAGGTTAAAATTTTTCTCTTAATAGATAATCAAAAGAATAATAATTTTTCTTTATTTCTATTCAAATATTTTCGATTCTTCAAAATAAAAAAAAAATAATTCTAGGATACTCACTTTGTCATATTTATTACTAATTTTTTTAAAAGTATTTAAATAACGTTTGTTCCAAATGAAAGACATTATTTCATGCGAAGTGGACATTTTTTAATGGACGGATCTACAGAATTAAGCGTAAAATAAATATCGTCGATATTTAAAAAAAATATTTTTCATACGAATATACGAATATACATATATATATATATACTCACCCGTGGACTCGCATTATATTTGTGAATATATTTTAATGGTATCTGTTTACAACGATTTAAGCGATTCTTGGAACATTTGATGAACTTCCGTTTTCCTTTCTTATAACCCTTTTCCCCAGTTCCTAAGAATAATATTGTAAAATTCTTCAAATGAATATTCGTATTAGTTACTATTAATGAAAAATTCATTAATAAGATTTTAATTTTTATAAAAACCACTCAAATAACCGAAAAGAAGAAAGTAATACACGATTTTCATATTTCAATGACAAATTTATGTTTGGATATATAATTGTAAACGAATTGCTTACACGAATTAATAGTCATTCATATAGCCCAATTAAAAATTAAAGAGATAGATAGATCATTTCATATATTCATAAATTCAATCTTGAAATAAATATATAAATATAATAAATTAAAAGTATTGAAAAAGAACTATTTTATCTAATAATAATTTTATTATTAATCTTTTATTGTATTTTAATGATGATGAGTTTAACATATACACGACTAATTTGAATCAAAATATAATTTTTAATACGCATGCGTAATAACGACATCTGTCAGATTCTTAGCAAAATACGCACTAATAACATTTAAACATAACCTATAACGTGTAAAAACTGTTTACTACTGTTAAGTGCACTGTATTTTCTTGATTTTTATAAATACTGTTATTATATATAATTATTATATATAACGTAAAAATTTATAACTTGACGCAGAATTTATTATAAAATAGAATGGAAGAAATGGATTTAGGAAGCGATGAAAGTAACGATAAGAATTTGCATGAAAATTCGGTAAACAGAAAAATCGAATCAGAAGTAATTAAAAATGAAACTGAAGAAATTAAAGACGATGAGTTTGATGAAGAACAGGATAAAGATGATGATAGTGATGATGATGATGAAGAGGATGCTGACGAAGCAGAAGTTAAAGTTTTAGAAACTTCTCTTGCTCACAATCCATATGATTACGCGAGTCATGTAGCCCTTATCAATAAATTACAAAAAATGGGTGAATTAGAACGATTACGCGCTGCTAGAGAAGATATGAGTTCAAAATATCCCTTAAGCCCTGATCTCTGGTTGTCTTGGATGCGCGACGAAATTAAATTAGCTACCACCATAGAACAGAAAACTGAAGTAGTAAAATTATGTGAACGAGCAGTAAAAGATTATCTTGGTATGTTTTTTATTTTTAATGTATAATAATGTGTAATAATATATCATTTGAATTTTTTTGTAAATAATTCTTATAGCTGTAGAAGTATGGTTAGAATATTTGCAATTTAGTATTGGTAATATGGGTACTGAAAAAGATGCAGCAAAAAATGTTAGACATCTCTTTGAAAGAGCATTAACAGACGTTGGATTACATACTATTAAAGGTGCAATAATATGGGAAGCATTTCGAGAGTTTGAAGCTGTGTTATATGCTCTGGTAAGTACAAAATGAAAAGATAAAATAATTTTAAGTTGTTAATAATTTCTTACATCAAGATTTTATATATAAGATTTTGGTATTTCAGATTGATCCTTCAAATCAAACTGAAAGGAAAGAGCAATTAGAACGTATTGGTAATTTATTCAAAAGACAATTAGCTTGTCCCCTTTTAGATATGGAAAAAACATATGAGGAATATGAAGCTTGGCGTCATGGAGATGGTACAGAAGCTGTTATTGATGATAAAATTATTATTGGAGGATACAATCGAGCTCTTTCAAAACTTAATCTTCGTTTACCTTATGAGGAAAAAATTGTTTCTGCACAAACAGAAAATGAATTATTAGATTCATACAAAATATATTTATCATATGAACAACGTAATGGTGATCCTGGAAGAATCACAGTTTTGTATGAAAGAGCAATCACTGATCTTAGTTTGGAAATGTCAATTTGGCTTGACTATCTTAAATATTTAGAAGAAAATATTAAAATTGAATCAGTCTTAGATCAAGTATATCAAAGAGCTTTAAGAAATGTTCCCTGGTGTGCAAAAATATGGCAAAAATGGATAAGATCATACGAAAAATGGAACAAATCGGTATTAGAAGTTCAAACTTTATTAGAAAATGCTTTAGCAGCTGGATTTTCTACTGCAGAAGATTATCGAAATTTATGGATAACTTATTTGGAATATTTACGACGAAAAATCGATCGATATTCTACAGACGAAGGAAAACAATTAGAAATATTACGTAATACTTTTAATAGAGCTTGTGAACATTTGGCAAAATCATTTGGTTTAGAAGGAGATCCTAATTGTATTATATTGCAATATTGGGCAAGAACTGAAGCTATACATGCTAATAACATGGAAAAAGCTAGATCATTATGGGCTGATATCTTCTCACAAGGACATTCCGGAACAGCATCTTATTGGTTGGAATATATTTCATTAGAAAGGTAATTTTTTATGTTATTTTTAGTGTAATACATAATATAATATGTTCAATTAATCAAATTAAATAAATTTTTTTTTTGATAGATGTTATGGAGATACAAAACATTTGAGGAAATTATTCCAAAAAGCTTTGACCATGGTAAAAGATTGGCCAGAAAGCATAGCAAATTCTTGGATAGATTTTGAACGAGATGAAGGAACATTAGAACAAATGGAAATATGTGAAATACGAACAAAAGAAAAATTAGATAAAGTTGCTGAAGAAAGACAGAAAGTGCAACAAATGTCCAATCATGAATTATCGCCATTACAAAACAAAAAAACTCTTAAAAGAAAACAAGATGAAACTGGTAAATGGAAAAATTTAGGATCTTCTCCAACAAAAATTACAAAAGTTGAAACGCAAATAAAACCAAAAATTCGAGAAAGTCGTTTAAATCTCGAAAAAAATGCTGATTCTGAAGAACAAAAATTAAAAACTGCGCCCCCGCCTGGTTTCAAAATGCCGGAAAATGAACAAATGGAGATAGATAATATGCATGAAATGGATGATAAAAGTACAGTTTTTATAAGTAATTTAGATTACACAGCAAGTGAAGAAGAAGTTAGAAATGCTTTACAACCAGCAGGACCAATTACAATGTTTAAAATGATAAGAGATTATAAAGGACGTAGTAAAGGATACTGTTATGTACAACTCAGTAACATTGTACGAATTATTTTTTTTCTTTTAATTAGAAATTATGATTAGTTTATATAAGTAATAATGTTTAATTAAGAATGAAAATGTTATTTTATATTATGTTACATAGGAAGCAATTGATAAAGCTCTGCAATTGGATAGAACTCCTATAAGAGGACGCCCAATGTTTGTTTCAAAATGCGATCCAAATAGAACACGAGGATCTGGATTTAAATACAGCTGTTCTCTTGAAAAAAACAAGCTTTTTGTTAAAGGTATGTAATTTATTTAATATTTAATCCTCAGTTGGTATTCTTAAATGATAAAAAACTCACAAATAATTCGCAATATTTCAATCGTTTATTTCTTAATTGCTAGATAATATATTCACATTTATTTTTTTATATTCTTTTATATACAGATATTATATTTAAGTTAAAATATTAATTACAAATATTAATTATTTTGAATTATGGGATAATTATAATCACTTAAAAATAAGTCTTAATTATCGTAAATAATAATAAATATTAATTAAGATCATTTATCTTTAAAATTTCGTAAATTACTAATATGAAAATTGTTAATCTTTTGCAAAACTAATATATATAGTTATATTTCCTAAACCAGTTATACATTTCAGTCAAATATGAATCATATTCGATACAACAAATTATATATTTGTTTTCTGAAAAGTAAATGATATTTAAAATATTTCATATCAATGAAATTGAAGAAGATTGGAAAATAAACGAAACATAAAAAAAAACATATGTTGAAATACAGAATGAATATTTTAATCATAATTATTATTTTAATCATATTAAGACGGAAATTGAATAATATTTGACTCCAAAGAAATTTCGAACATAAATAAGATATTTTTATATCTATAATTATTTTAAATGATCTACAAAACTTCTTTCAAGTTTGCATCAAAATATTCTGGAATATTATCTAGATTGATTAATTTTTTGTAATTGATAAAATTTTAAAATCATTGAATAAATGAATATTATAAATAGAGAAATTTATTAAAATGTTCATAAATCACACAAATGAAGTAAAAATAAAAGCATTTTTTAATTTGCTTTATTTAAATAAATTTTTTCAAATCAAAAAATGGAGATACATTCTTTATAAGTTGCAAATATTACCGAGCATCACTTATTTCCATCTTATTGTGTCATTGAACAAATTTTTATTGTTATTCAATATATTACGATTTAATGAAATAAGAAAAGGAAAAAAGAATGGAGATATATGTATTAATTCCATGAATTTCTTTAAAAATAAACTTTTACTTCATGATTAATTGATCATCAATAATTTTAGAAAATCTGAAATTATATGTGATACAAATGTAAAAGTGAAATGAAAATTTTTTATAAAAAAATTGAAAATTGTAATAATCAAGAATGATATATGAAACAGCGTTGTAATATAATCGTGTAACACAAGAAATGTTAAAAAATTAGAGAATTAATAAAAATTACAGATAATCCGATAGACGAAGAGGCTGCTCGACCAAAAAGACGACGCTGCAAAGAATGCCCTAGCAAGCTTGACAGAAAACATTCTACATATTGTATGAAATGTAAAAAGACAGTTTGCAAACAACATTCATTGCAACAAATTTATTGTTTCACTTGTATCGAAGATTTCAGAGAATCATACGATGTGCCAGTTTTTTGATGTTATTGTTATGATCATATCAGATTTTTTATTACAGACCAAAGTAATATCTATTAATAAAAATTTAGTTTATATTTTTTTTATTTGTTCTCATATATTATCATTTATATACAAGAATAATGTTTGCACATTATTCTTTGTAATTAATGAATGATATATTTTACTTTTTATTTGTTTTATAATTTTACTTCTTGTTTGTTTTATAATTTATAATTTTATTTATAATTAAAAATAATATTAAAGTTTTTATTGAAGAAATTCACGCTTCTTTGTATACACATATCCCATAATGATAATTACATTAAAAATACTTATCACTGCTTATACGATATATCGATGGATTATAAATAACCATGCGATATCAATTATATTATTATTATACCAACTGAGGGTTAAATTAAAAATCGTTAATTAAAAGAAAAAATATTTATCTTTATGAAATGATTAGGACTTCCGGTATCAACAACGAAGGAAGAGCTTGAAGAAATTTTCAAGGTTCACGGAGCATTGAAGGAAGTCCGCATAGTTACTTACCGTAATGGCCATTCTAAAGGGTTGGCTTATGTCGAATTTATGGATGAGAATAGTGCCGCGAAGGCACTTTTGGCCACTGATGGAATGAAAATTGCCGACAAAGTAATTAGTGTAGCCATAAGCCAACCACCTGAACGCAAGAAAGTTGAAGAACCACTCTTAGTTAAATCTCTAGGTGGTACTACAGTAAGCAGAACTACATTTGGTATGCCCAAAACATTATTATCTATGGTACCTCGTACTGTCAAAACCGCTGCTACTAATGGCAGTGCAAATGTGCCTGGAAATGGTGTTGCTCCAAAAATGAGTAATCAAGATTTTAGAAATATGTTACTGAATAAAAAGTAATTTACTACAACGTCGCTAATTTCTTAAATCCTTGTTTCTTTCAAATGTATGCTTTAATATATGTATATATGAGAAAAATATTTAAATTACATATTTCTTAAAGCATTATATAATAATGAACAAAATTTTCTTAAATCTCTAAAAGAAGATTTAAGAGTTTATTTATAAAAAGAAGAGAAAAAAATGGAAGGAATAAAACTAAGAATCACAAATTCTTAGAAAATAAATATGTTTAATGTAAGAAAGTTTATATATACAAGATGAATGTGTGCAAAGTGAGCGATGTTACTCTATAAAAATCTAAATATAAAACGAGAACAATTTTCCCATCACGCATACATTACAGTGTCACGAATATATATATATACGTATACTTTTCTCGCACAGACACGCACGATAGAAAAATATTCTGAATACATGTAAGAGAGAAAATGAACAAAAGAAGTTGCATTGCAAGTAATAACAAATCAGGGTGACCATTTTTCTCTATCTTAACGAGAAAAAATTCTTTTTTTATGTATACATATATTACATATACACACATGACCTATTATTGTTAAAAGATATTGTAAAATAATGTCGAAGCAGCATTTACAGAAATTGTTACAGAATTATACAGTTCTCTTTACTTTTCTTTGTGCATATTTGGTCACCCTACCGTCAAGTACAAATATACTTCTACAGCTGCAATGGTGCATTGGACGTGTTGTGTTTTTTATGCCTCGGTGGAGCGACAGGTGGACTTTCAGGTGTCAACCTCCTCGCCATAAGCCATTTTTTGGCTCGGCCAGAGTGATAATAATAGGCATAAAGCAACGCCATAGCCGCCAGTACAACCAACAGGCACGTACCAGCGATAATAACACTGAATAACCAATATGATCCACTCGGCTCTGGCACCAATGTTGGCTTTGTTGCCGATTTTTCTCCTGGAACCGATTTCGGAGTTGGCGGCTCTGCAGGTGGAAGAGGTTCCACGTCATCTCCGATGGTAATATCAGCGCAAGCACGAAATTCTTCTTGAGGGCCGCAACCTACAGCTCCTGAAGACGTATTGTTAAAGAAGTACAATTTATAATTTTATGTTATGAAACTTATTAATTTTTAAAAATAAGGTAAATTATTTTATTTGCAACTATAAGCATTTTTTCCTTTTTTTTTTTTTCTATTTCTATTTCTTCGTAAACTGAATTTGATAAACCTCATTTTTTATAATTTATTTTGTATAATGATAAGTATGTAGTAATTGATTTACATATTAAAAATCTTTAAATATATTATGAATATATTTAAATAAATGAAAATAATTTTTCAATTATATTCTTTTTAGTTTATATTGCATTATATTGCACTTCAAGAAAAAAGATTACATTGGAAGCACTGTACATGTAAAATAATATTTAAAACATGTAAAAATAGAAGAATATTATGATGAATAATTTTGAAATAAATGTTTGTATATGAGATCTGAAAATAATAAAGCGATTGCTTAAAGATAAACTCCAACGAATACTAATGAATATGAAGCAACTATTCAATGCCACTATTAATTATGTAATATTTATTACATATGAAAAATTAAAAACTTTCATTTATACTTCCATCGAGGCATAATAAGAATTATTTTTCTACAAAATTTAATCCATTTTATATCTATTAATTCGTACGTCAACTATTTTTTTCAGTAATAAAATTTTTGGACTACGCATGCACAAATCGATAAAAAAACATGGAAAACAAAAACACAAATGAAATTGAAAATTCTTATAAAATGAAGGAAAAGATATTAAGCAATAAAATTATAAAAAGCTCATTCAAAATTATGTAAGAATTAATTTAAAAATCAAACTCTCCGACACTAATCACTCCATTATTAACGAAGAAACATAATTTAAACTAAAAAAAAAAAAAAAACGAATCTAAAAATTCCATTCTCAAAAATCGAGAAGAGAAGCAAACTGAATTACCGCTCTACTTTACCCCCGATGCAATCAGCGGCTTTTAATCGACTCCACCCTTTCGAACAAACGCTTCATTCTATCAACTTTTCCCAATATCCCTGAAATTCAATCTCCATGCACCCAGCTTGAACAACATCTCCGCAACAACGACCACCTCGGTGCCTACGACGACGAGGATCCATTTTTGCTTTTGTTGCAAAACGGTGTCTCTCGAACATCCATTCAGTTGGAACAAAGTGCGGGCCAACATTCGCCCCGGAATTAAATGGAACGGAAATTTTCGCTCGCCATTGAGAAAAATCTCCAACTTCGTTTGGATCCAAAGAATAATCGGAGAGGAGTGCTATGCGAGAGTGAGAACGGTCCTCGAATTTCGTTTTCGACAATGTCACAATGACAAAAGAGCGAGAGGGAGGGAGATGAGAACGATGAGAACGTTTTTATTGGTCACAATACCTGTTCCGTTTCCACAGTCGCCCCAATTATTTCCAGCCACGTATCTCCATTGAAAAACGCATTGAGCGCAAGTCAGATCGTCCGGCAATTTGTAGAAAGCCTCGAAGATCTTGTTCCCTGGGCCGGGATAATATCTGATCGACCCGTTCTTCGACCGAAGCAGATGTTGGTCCAGGCAATCCTGATCGACTTCCTTGTTCTTGTAGGTCATCGCACATGCACGGAACTCGAAGTAACCGTGATGATTCGCTGTGAGTTCAACACGGACCGGTATCACCGAACCTGTTCGGTACTTTCTCACTATCACACCATTCCCGTATTTGCCACCTGTCTCGTGCAAACGGGGCTGTAAGTGAAATTGAAATTTGTATTTATTTTTGTGTTAATTTTTTTTTTTTAAATGAAGTTGATACTTGTAATTTTTGATCAGTATATATTCTGGAATTGAAATTGCTATTAATTCTCTTTTATTTTATTTTCTATATTATTTTAACAGCCACGGATTTTGTAATTTATTTGAATTTTATGAACGAGTATGTAAGAATGATACATGAGCATGTGATATTTTAAAAATGTGTCAGAATTGTTTTATAAATAGGATAGAAGTGGATCAAGTATACTTTGGTATCTTATGTCGTTTGAAAAATTGCATTTCAAGACTTGTGAGGATTTTTTCTGATTAATTTAATTGTAAGGTTGTAAAAAAAAAAAAAAAAAATAATGTAATTTTATTCTTAGCTTCAAATAAAAATTACATTCTATCTCATACAATTAATGTGAAAACAGAATTAATTTTTGCATTTATAGAATCTCTCAATAGAATAAATAGAATGTAGACAGTACTTCTCTACAGAGAATAAAAGTTCACAAGAAGATTGAAATTTCCTCCCTTTACTTTCAGATCTTGATAAAAGTTTGAATTTCAAATTTAGGAGATTATAAATTTTCGCAGAAGAAATTTTATATGTGAAATATATAAATAGTGCATGTTAGTCTAGTCTAACATTGGAAAGTTATTATATCTGTTCATTTACGAATTGTTAGAAAAATGATTGTTAAATTCGTTGCAATAATTAACGAGATAGAAAATTGGAGAAGAAGTAAATCGTGAAAATTGATACGAATTGGTATAATCGAAGGGAAATATCTTTCGATCGAATGATAAATTGGTTGGAAATTCGATTGAACATCTCTGAAGGATCAAGAAAGAAAATAGAATTATCCTTTGTAAACTTTTAACTATGCCATATAATTGTTTAATTTTATATTGAATTCTTTTATTATACTATAATATTATAAAAATGAAATTTTTAATTTTTATTTAGTTTAGATTTTTATAGTTCGATTGTTTAATCGTCAAATTTGTTAAATTTTTTAACTTAAAACCGAAGAATTGCAAAATAAAAATAGTTGTATTTATAAAATCTAAAAAACTTTATTGTTGATATAATTTCATAAATTATCAAAAATAATTCGAACTAGTGAATTTTTAGTATTAATTAAAATAGCATTAAGCAAGTACTTTGAAAACATTCCATCTTCTATTCTATTCTTCGTAATTTTTACCGAATAAATCTTTTTTCCCATTTTTTCTTTTATTCTTCTATTCGATGATTTAAATTCTGTATTTTGCAAGATATATTTTTAAGAGAGGTGTTGAAATACGTGGTATTGTTGTAGCTTATTGCTGTAGGCTTATGTTCGTCCAACAGACTGGAAAATCGCAAATAGTAATTTATTCTGTGTTACAAGAACATTACCAGGAGATAATTACACAAGCTTCACAATAAGATGCATCTCGTTTGATGTAGTACTTTCTTTTTATTTAGTTTTCCTTTCTTTTTTATCTTTTTACTTCAAATAGTATTTATGTATATTTTTGCTTAATAGTGTACGTAAATAACAATGATAAAAAGTTCAAGGAAAACGTGTTTAATTATACTACTGTTAAATTAAACTCACTATGAATGCATGTGCTGCATAATTAATGTGAAAATGTGTTGATTAATTATTTAAAATATCAGCATAAGAAAAAAAAACGAATGAATATACGTACATTATAATCCTGATTTCATGCATTAAATATAAAATGGAGCTAAATAATATATTAATTTTATTATATTTTATCCTTTATTTAATAACGAATAAAATCTATTTTAGCAAAAATATAGATAATTTGAATATTTTACGAGATATTTATTTTTCAATATTTTATTTTGATAATTTTCTATGTAAAATGATACGAGAAAGCAATTTTAAAAAATATATTAATACCTTTTAAAATATATGATCGTGGGATTGATGATGCACGATTACACTTGTGAAAAAAGAGAGGAAAAGCTCACTCAGGAAAGCTCTTTAAACCATTCAACTTTTCCTCTGCCATTCTCTGCCTTCTTTTTTTTTGTTTGTAAAAGAAAAAAGCATGTCCCAGTTACGTGACTACATATATATAACCTCACATATATTTAGCTAAATTCTTTATTGTGAAGTTTAAGCAAAATAAAAAATAAATATCATTAATTATTGGAATAAAATATTAAATAAATTTATCTTACTGAAATGTAATTTCATCTGTTCGTAAAACAGGATT